GTTGTATTCATTTGTTGTCAAAATTTACATATTGTTAGTTTGCAATTGCACTGCTTTCAAATTTCTTAGTTATTGTATGTTGGATTAAAAAAGTTACATTACTCATAAAACGTGTTTTAATTTCAAAAATTCGTGTACTTTTATCTATAAAAGTTACATAAGAAAATGAAACACAACATTATTCCTTGTAATTTCGAAAGGGCAAAAGGCTTAAATTATAAGTGCCCGTTCCGTATACGCGGGAATATTCTACTGTTGACCACCCTCCTCAAATGCTAATGTGCTAAGTTCTGACACATCGTAGCTTACTACCGTTATCCACATTTTCTTTTTTGTAAACTTTCGTTAACGTGCCCTTTGACTATTGCACTGTTTGCAGTTGATATGGAACGATAAGACGCAGCCACAATGCGATATTTATTGGTAGCTTCTGGCCACGAATTCCCATCCGAAACATCTCGAACAAAGAAATTTTTATCAGAATCAGGCGTATACTATTATATAGGATATTATATAGTGTTATTTTTATGTCCCCTTATATTTGTTCACCTAGGCGGGCAAAGCATCCTAAACTGTGTTTTAATTTCTCTATCCAACAACAACTTTTCAAGAGTGTCTTTCTGTACATCTGTAATTAAAACGAATAATATTTATAATGTCATTAAGATTTTCGCTATCGCGAAGAATCATTAAATTATTCCTTTTATATGACGTAAACATTTCTACACAAAATTTTTTAAAGAAAACGAAAGCGAGAATGAAAAGCGAATGCAAAAATTGCGGGATCTTTCCGATTCTATTTTGCGAAATGAATGACAATACTTGTTAGTTAAACAACCGAAATTTATACTGGTTGAAAAACAAATGCTTGTTAAAAGTAACTACTACAGCATGCATATGTTGTGTGCCTGCGAGAAAGAGACAAGACAAGACCGAGTGCTGCAAAAATGTAATATAGCTTGTTGAGAGTAGAAGGGTTATAGAACGAAAAGTAACCAATAATCATAAAAAAATAAAAACATCTTATGGCTCCCGCAATATCTATATGGCGTCTAGACGAAAGTGAGTCTGTAGCCGTTCATAAGATTAACGGGCTCTTTTCGAGGCTAGGTTGACTAATTTTACCCAAGAGACAACTAGATATTAATTTCTTAATACGTTGTTACATTTTAGGTCATCGGATGTATGAGTGAGCCAAAGTTTTTATTTTAATTCTCGCAAAATAGGAATAATGCGACTCCGTTTCCGTTCTTCGGCTATAAATCTTTGGGGAAAATGAGACAAACGGTTTGGAAAACTTTTTAATACCCTTAATATAACTTACAGTATAGTTAAAAAAAGGTAACGGCGATCTTCGAATATGGGTTTTGATGTCGTTAAACTAAAGACAATGTCCAAAGTCTTTTTTGGAACAAAAGGCAATGGGATCTTTGGAGCCGTCAGCAAAACCATGAAATAAAATTCCAGTATTTTTTATGTTAAACGCGTCTGTCGACAACAAAATAGGTAGTTTGGTGTTAAGTCATTTTAATCCAATCCTTTAGCAATTCAAAAGCACTTTTACACATTTTTGACTACTTAAATCCTTGTCGCCACTACGGTGTTTTGCGATTGGCGGTCAAAGCGGAGGTGATTTGTTGCGGCGCTCCTAATCTTTGGTTCTATTGATTTTAACTGCTAGTTCTAACTAGTAACTAGTAAATAGTTACCAGCCTTAAACACAAAAAGTGCAGATGTGTTGCAAAAGAACATCACAACTAGACGGCGCTATTCCATATGAAACTATACTGATGATGGTGTACAAGTAAAGTTTTATAATAGCAAAGCAATACTAACTTTAAAAATGCTAGTATGATTACCTAAACTTTTGGTGTAAATTTGCATGAATGAAATTGTAAGCCATGTGAACCTAAATCTCTGTTACATAATCGAACACTAGGACATCTGGAATTGTCTACAAACACATAAGTTTTTAAAGCCAAATCAATGAAGTGTTATAGATACTAAATTAGAAATTGGCTTTCACGATGTCCGTGTCGAGATTGACGTGAATCATTCAATCACCGGCGTGTTAAAATGATGTTAAAACTCAGATCTACGTAGACCTATTGATGCAGCTGCGGAGAGATATAAGTTTTTTGTGAGGTTTATTGACGAATGTAGTTATTTTGTAATAATTTATGTTAGTACGAAAAATGCTGATGTACTAAAGATTTTTAAGTATTGCCACTTAGCCATCTTAGCCACTAGTGGGGTTAATGGCATGCCAGTTTAAAAGATTGTATAGATCAAGATGGAGAGTGTATTAGTAAAGAATAACTTCAGTATTATAAAAAAAGAGGCGTATAAATTCTTCCTGCTATTGATTACTCGCCGAAAAATATTGGTGTAGCCGAAAGTTTCAATAGGAATGCAATTACTATATTAATTGGATTGAAATTTCCTAAGAATGTGATCTAACTCTGCGCTAGTTTCTATCTCTATTGGAGGCCTTTGTCCATTTTCTTGCCGTGAAGATATAACACCTTCGCTGAAATTTGGTATGGAAGTGGTAGTGAAAAGTAATAAATTTCTTCAAGTTTACCTTCAGCTTTGGTTGTGTGCTGTGGTTTTTAGCCAAATGATTATTATTGATTATTAATTATCGAAATTGCTTCTTATATAGCTTAACATAAATTAACTTGCGCTCTTGTATAAGAATATTCTAGAGTTACTTAAGACTTTGTTATTAGTTGACGTAGATTATTAGCTAAAGTAGGTTAAAGGTAGGATTACAACAGAATGAAATCCTACTTAGACTTACATTTGACCAGGCGTTGCGTTGTGATGAGGAAAAAAATGAGTAGAATAAGTTAAATAAAATATTAACTAGAATTACGTTAAAATAGATTATGTTGACCACAGTTTTGCACTGCGAAAAATATGCAAAACATGCATATATTACATTAGTATGAAATAAGTAACAACAATATCACAGCACAAACCATAAGGTTAAACGAAATACGTCATTTTTGTTCTAAAACACAAAACAAAAGCAAAGAGAATGGAGTGGTGAACATTATCATGTAAAATTCCTTTTACCTTCGAATTGCATTGATTAAAAGCAAAAACTAAGGCACAAGCAAGCGGGCTATTAGCAACGATGGCATTGGTAACTTAATCGTTGAAAGTTGAGGTATTACATATAAAAAAATTCCAAGTGAAATGATGGGAAAGGAATTGACGACGTAAACACCATAAGTGTGACAAATGAAGTATTTCTTGAATATAATGATGTAGTGTGTAACGGGTTTTCTTTGCCGGGCTCAAGGCTTTCCAAAAAGCCCGTCTCTAAGAAGTTTATGACATAATAATACTTGTGCCTTCATGTTTTTTTTATAATTACTTATTTTATATTAATTCCCGAAAATATTGAGAAAAATTGCGGTTATAAATTTATGCCGTAGAGACGGAATAACTATCGCAGCGGTATGGCGATTCACGGCCCGTTTCAAGATTAATTTTTATTATTCTTCATTTCTCTCTACTTGCCTTGCTGGATTTTACTTCGTTAAACATTACTTTTCGGGATTCGCGGACCTTCTTTCAAGATGATTCTGCACTTTATGTTACGACAGCCAGCCTTATGGGCCAGTAAGTTATTAGTCCCTAAATGCCGCTTCAGTCAATTCTAATATGCCCAACAGTCCAAAAAGTCATTCAGGACCAGCGGCTAAGGTAAGTGAGTCATTTTTTATCCGTAAAGTCAAGTAGTCCTATCGTATTAGTCGTTTGGCGACAGAGGGTAATCTAAGCCAGCCATCCGCTAACTGTATAGTCGAATAATAAAAATAAAAAAGGTTTGTCTTTCTGTACATGGCTGCCGCAGCACAACTAAAAGAACGTATGTACTGTGTATCGCGCTTTGGTATCTGCCTACACCATCTTTGTACCGTTACAAAGTCGCTTATAGCTGCCTGTTAGAAGTTGGCATGCATGTTAATGTATTCATATGTTTCATTATATATATTGACTTATATAAGAATATGCTTATTGATTGCTTATAGCTACGAATGAGGTTATGCACAACGTAACTGCAGGAGTGAGAAATCGGTTATAGTGAGATCAATCTGTATATACATTTACTGACAGCTAAGTTCATGCTGTGTATATTGAAGCTGTAGATATGTGAGTGAAGCATATCGGTTTTAGCAATATGGAAGCATACGAGTATATCGAATGTTTGCAAGACGTGATTTACGAAAGTTTTTAGAAATTAGGTGTGTGTATGCACGTGTAGTGAAAACTAGTTTTACGAACGTATATGCATGATCTTGTATGGATAATACGCGATTAATGGGATTTTTTAAAAACGAAACCCGTTTTAACAGAACGAATTTATGTAATCGTGGGTTTTAGGGCAAAAATTATCACATTATTTATGGAAATTTTTAGAAATATAATCGGTTGTATAGGTATAAGCATAAGAATTATTCAACGTATATTTGTATGCTTAAGTATGTAGGCGCAAAAACCCACAAGGGTATGTGTAAGTATGTTTCTAGGTATAAGAAAATAAGTGTGTACATTATAAAGCAATGTGATTGTTTCGGCTAGGTAAAAAATATCGGTCAATGCGTTAGTTAGGCAGCGTATAGGCATTGATTAGAGTGGTTTATGTATCTTATACACGAATATATACAGTGAAGCATTATCGATATATCGTCATCTACCCGTTCAATAATCATTTATGCTTAGTTCACACTTTATTATACTTCCACATAAAGTAAACGTAGCTATAACCTAGTTAAGATCTGTGCTACATAAAGAAGCCTTTTTTTGCGCTCCTGCCTTTATCATCTTAAAGAGAAAAAATTTGGTTAAAATATCACAGTTTAAAATACTATACTCGCTTTCTCATAAGCAAGCAACTTGCATCACCTACATTTTGGAGGCCCCGGCTAGATAAGTATCTTAAACAATTTGCATAATAATTACGTCAATTAACCACGTGCCTTTTCATGGATGATCAAACGGAATTAAAAACTGGAGTTGATGCCGTGCAATGCTCCAGCAAAAAACTTGATAAAGCGCTATTAGCTTTAAAGGTTCGTCGTACGGTGACCGAACACCAAATTGACCGTGTCAATGATTTTGTAAAACGTATACAAGAAGATTCAAGTAGCGTTTCTTTAGATGAATTAAATATAAGGCTCAAAGATTTAGACAGTGCTTTTGATGCTTTCGACAAAGTTCAGAGAAAAATTGAAGAGAAGGATTTTGATGAAATCTCTCAACCAAATAGATCAAAATGTGAGGAATTATATTACTGTACAGCAATAACGTTAAAAGTGTATATATCAAGACTCAACAATTCAGATTCGAACCAAACAATTCATGTTTCCCATGCGATATTATCTGATGAAAAATACGACACTGTAAAACTGCCAAAAATCGAATTACGCGAATTTTCTGGTGATGTTACTACATGGATAGCTTTGTTCGATGAATTTACATCATTGGTGCACAACAATGAAAGGCTTAACACCTTTACTAAATTGCATCATTTGGTATCTAAATTGAGTCCGGCCGCAAAGGCTCCTATAGCTGGCATAAAAATCATTGCTGAAAATTATGAAATAATATTGCAAAGGTTGAAAGACCGCTTTGAAAACAAGAAAATTATTGCGAAGCAGCATATCAAACAAATTTTTGAGCATCCTAAGATCATTCATGCGAATGCAGCTGATTTACGAGAATTAATCGATACCATGAATAATCACCTTATAGGTTTGAAAAATATTAATCGTCCAGTTGAATCATGGGACGATCTTATGGTATACATCATAACATCTAAGCTTGATCCCGATACATCGAGTAAGTGGAATGAAAAGGCGCCTATTGATCGTGTACCGATACTCTCTGAATTACTAAATTTTTTAAAAGGACGTTGTCAACTTCTTGACAGTAATTTAAGTTCTGTTTCTTTACCCGTTGGTGCTCTCACTAGTCGTGCTATAGAGCCAAAAAGGGTTCAAAGAACAGCAAAGTCTTTTGTTATCATTAAAAATTGCTGCAGCTTTTGCCAAAAACCGGGTCATAGTATATATCGCTGTTCTGATTTTTTAAGCTTATCTGTTGCTGACAGATTGAACAAAGTACATGCACTTAAACTTTGTGTCAATTGTCTTAAATTCAAAAAATATCATTTATCTGATTGCACCTCTAAAGGTCGTTGTCACAAATGTGGCAAAGGCCATTATTCACTATTACATTTTGAACGCCCGCAAGTGGCAAATTACACTGCTTCAAAACATAATCAAATCAATGAAACAAATCATATCGAACCTGCAGAAAATGCAAATCATAACATGAGTGATCAAGCACAACCTAAAAATTTTGCTGCTTTGAAAACACAACACACAGAACGAAGTATACTGGCTACAGTAGTTGTTTATATTATATCGAAATACAACCAACGCTTTCCTTGTCGTGTTCTATTGGATGGTGGTTCACAAATTAATATGATTTCTGAACGCATGGTTCATATGACCAGCGTCAATACGCTCCAATTCAATTTCAATGTGAAAATAAAACTGTGGGAACATCAAACTTGATAGGTATCATATATATTGAATCGCTACTTAAACCATTCTCGGTTACTCTTGTAGCTCATATAGCTGACCAAATAAGCGGAACCCTTCCTGATGCTGAAATTGATATTTCAAACTGGAACATACCAGAACAAATACCATTAGCAGATGAATGTTTTAATATACCACAACGAGTCGACATGTTATTGGGTGTTGACATATTTTTTGATATTTTCGTGTAAAGTTGCCTTTCAAATCATCAACATCTTTATTGGGTAACTCTTACGACATTGCTTTTATACGCTTTCTGGCACTTGAGCGAAAGTTTGAAACAAATGAACAATTACGTAGTGATTATACTAAATTTATAAATGAATATATTCAACTTTCACATATGGAAATTGTATAATCATTTGATTTTTCACAACCACATTACGTGTTACCGCACCACTGCGTACATAAACTTTCGAGTTCCACAAAAAAGTTACGCGTCGTATTTGATGCGTCATCAAAAACCACATCTGGTAAATCTTTGAACGAGCTTCTTATGGTTGGGCCAGTAATTCAACCTGATTTATTTACGGTAGCTTTACGGTTTCGATCTTACACTTATGTATTCACACTGATATAACTAAAATGTATCGTCAAATTGCTCTCGATCCCGATGACAGACGATACCATTTTGTGTTATGGCGTTCACAAGGCGATCAACCAGTATAGCTATACCAACTAACTATAGTTACATATGGAACTACATCTGCATCATTTTTAACCACGCGCGCATTAAAACAATTAGCTATTGATGAACTACATAATTTTCCGATAACTGCAAATGCTATAAACACAAATTTTTATGTAGATAATCTACTAACGGGTTGCAACACACTTCATGAAGCCATGCAATTACAAGCACAATTAATTTCTATTTTATCTAAAGGAGGTTTCAGCCTAAACATATGGTGTGCAAATCATCAAGATTTGATTAAACACATTCTCAAAGAAAATCGCGAAATTTTATTCACCATTAAAAATTCAAATGCGATCAAAACTCTTGGAATTGTTTGGGATCCTGCAAAGGACAAATTTCTTTACAAGATTGATATAAAATTCAACGAAAATTATACTACAACAACAATTTTATCTGAAATTTCACAATTTTTTGATCCGATAGGCTTAATATCGCCACTCATAAAAATGGCTAAAATTTTCATTCAACAATTGTGGCGGTTAGATTTGGATTGGGATGACGAATTGCCTATTAAATACCAGATAGCGTGGTCAAATTTTAGACGGCAATTATGTAATTTAATCGATTTAGAAGTGGATCGCTCAGCATTCACTCCTGATGCAAAATATGAAATTCATGTGTTCTCTGACAGTTCAGCAAGCGCATATAGTGCATGTGTATACATCAGATGTATAAATAACGAGACGAAAATAACTTCAAATTTGCTTTGTGCCAAATCAAAGGTGGCACCTATCAAGAAATGTAGTTTGCCAAGATTAGAACTCTGCGCTGCTGTAACAATGGTACAACTCGTTAAGAAAGTTTAAGAAGTCTACGATTTTATACAATTTAGCAACATTTGCTTCTGGATCGACTCAACCATAGTGTTGAGTTGGATATCAGAAGACTCATGGAATTCGAGTACCTTTATTGCTAATAGGGTGGCAATCATTCAACAAGTTTCAAAACGCTCGCAATGGAGACATATTCCATCCAATTTAAACCCAGCTGATATATTATCTCGTGTTGTGTTACCAGCTGAATTAATGCATTCAACATTTTGGTTTCCCGGGCCAAATTTTTTAACATTAGCTTCGTCTATTTGGCCACAATTTCCATACCATTTAAAATACGATGATAACAGATTAGAAAGAAAACCTATAAAGATGATATTAACAACAACAATTTCACAACATGATTTAATCATTAGTATTAAATTTCACAACGATTATGTACGTTTGCTTAACACAGTCGCTTACATGCTGCGTTTTATATATAATTGTGAATTTAAGGCTAAAAGAAAATACGGTTCATTGGATGCTACAGAACTTGACGCATCTCGTCTAAACATTGTCAAATACATACAAATCATTTCTTTTCATGCTGAATTTGCAGCTGTACAAAAGGGTGCTAACCTTAATGCCAAAAGTCACAGTCTTTATCACCATTCTTTGATAATAACGGTTTACTAAGAGTGGGTGGCCGATTAAGAAACTGTAACTTGGACTTCAACAGTAAACATCCTATACTATTACCAAAAAATCACGCTTTTACGTATACACTGGCACGCTACTATCATAAAATTAATCATCATGTTGGCCCACAAACATTACTAAGCGTAATACGTCAATCTTATTGGCCAATCCATGGCAAGGTTATCTGTCGATCTATATGTCGAAGTTGTGTCTTATGCTTTCATACTAATCCAACTAAACAGAACTATCTTATGGGCGATTTACCTGATTTACGAGTTCAACAATCAAGACCGTTTAATGTAATAGGTGTCGATTTTTGTGGTCCATTTCAAATATATTATGGCAGACGTGGTATTGTTTCTACAAAAGGCTATATATCTGTTTTCATATGTTTTTGTATAAAGGGCATACATTTAGAGTTGGTAGAAGATTTATCTGCTCAAACTTTCTTAGCTGCTTTAAGGTGTTTCATTCGGTGACGTGGCCTATGCTCAGTGATTTACAGTGACAATGCAACTAATTTTATTGGTGCGAAAAAGGAATTGCTTGAACTTTACAAAATGTTTAAAAGTACAGATATTATATTTAATGAATGTGCTCCACGTGGCATAATTTAGAAAACCATACCTCCACGCTCTCCGCATTTTGGTGGCCTTTGGGAGGCTGCATTGAAGTTCACTAAATTTCATCTAAAAAGGATACTACAAGATGCGAAATTTAACTTTTTTGAATTCAACACACTTTTAATACAAATTGAAGCGGTATTAAATTCAAGACCTATCACTCCCGTGCCTGAGAGTCCAAATGACGAACCAGCTCTAACGCCTGGTCATTTTGTTAATGGCTCTGCTTTAAAAACCATACCTGACCCCGACTTAAGAGATGTCAACAACGTAAGCCATTTACGGCGTTATCAAAGATTGTAATATTATCTGCAACAGTTTTGGGACAGATGGTCTAAGGATTATTTAGAAACGTTGGAGAATCGAACTAAGTGGACAAAAGGTCGTATGTCATTAAAGGTTGGAGACGTTGTTGTTGTAGAGGAAGACAATCTTCCTTCTCAAAAATGGCGCCTGGGTCGTGTTACTGAAATTCATCCTGGCAATGACAGAGTCGTGCGGGTTATCACTGTTAAAACTTCCAGTGGCGAAATACGTAGAACTTCTACTAAGGTTCGACGTCTACCTATTGAAAGGACCGAGTCCATTCAAGGGGGCCGGGATGTTCAGACGAAATCGTGAATGGCAATACCATTATGCTTTTTCTTACTTTTCTTGCTTTATTACACATATGCTTTTTTTCAATAAAATATATTATTATTGTTGCCTTTTGCTTTGTCATGTAAAGAAGTCTTTTTTTGCGCTCCTGCCTTTATCATCTTAAAGAGAAAAAGTTTGGTTAAAATATCATAGTTTAAAATACTATACTCGCTTACTCATAAGCAAGCAACTTGCATTACTACCCTAGTTTAATTCCACTCTTTTGCTTAAGCTAGCATAATAAGTTATTATATAAATTACTGACCACAGTTCAGTAAAATCAATAATAGTAAGATGGTAAGAAGTAAGACAGAAGTAAAAGCATGCGCAGTAAAGAATTATTCAAACGAACCTTTAATTGTGTTTTCACTACATGGCAACCGTGACGGGACGCCGGTGGACAATTTTTTTTGTTCACTGGCTTCAAAGACTTTTTAGGTGCATAAATATAAAAATAGAATAAAAAATTATATAGGAGAAGTAACTGTGACAAAAAAAAAACTTCATGCGGAAAGAATTTTACATTTAAATAATTAATTTACATCTGTGCGGTTGCCTTGTAAAATAAAAAGAAATTTAAAAAAAAAAGAAGGAAAAAGGACTAAACACAAATATAAAATTAACAAAAGCTGCTCCATGAACTCGCACAAATAAACATATAAAATAAACACAAAGCAGGACCTACGTTTAGGCCTGGCGAGTCCCAAGTGCTTTAAATATAAGCGTCTCATACCTCCAGCTCTACCTTTAGTCGCACTTCCCCAAAAATTATATTCGGAGGCCAAAATTGAAAAATGAAGGACATTAAAAAAAAAAGGGAAATGTTTGAGTTTTCCAATAATCTAGAAGAATTTAACGGGCCAATATAAACTATCTTTATGGATTTAACTCAGTTAATATAAAAAAAAAAAACAATAATGACTTGAGTAAAAACGAAAAAAAAGAGAGAAAAATTTATATATTGTGAAAATTTGCGTGGACCCAAAAAAAAAAACTTGAACTGAAGTAGAGGTGCAAGTGTCAAAAAAATGCAGTGATCAATTCAGTATCGAAGAAGGAACCAAGGATAGTCAAATAGCCGAATGCAACCACGAGAGATCGAGAACACCACCTAAGCAACCGCAAGTATAATCTAACGAATACAGCAGGGATACAATAAATATATATTATATTAAGGTGAATATTATTTAAATTATCCTAAAAATACATTAAACTTAATCTTTCATCCGCAAAAGGATAATAAGTGCTTTTAAAAAAAAAATTTCTTTTTCTATATATATAAAGGGTCAAATTTAAGAGAAATTCTAGAGCCCCAAAAAAGGATTATGTTAAAATATATATTACACGTTACCAAAAAGAAAATATACACATTGAACGTACACTACCCACATGACCCCTCCCCCGAAAGAAACCGATATCCCAGAACTCGGCAACGGGCGGTCATCCTTCACGCCGATATATTATGAACAAGCCCACTCTTTCTCAACAGGGGACGATGTTGAGACAGTAGATTTCCAAAAAGAAAGTTCAGAAAGAAGGTACAGGCGACAATTCAAGCAG